AAAAAAAAAAAAAAAAAAAAAAGTAAACAATAGACTTTTCCCTATACCAGAACACAATAATTCTTCTGGGAAAAGTAAAGAAAGCCCCCAGAGAAATTCAAATAAAAAATGACCTACACAGCAAGACACAGGTAAGCCTGGCAACATATATGGCCTTTCATTACTGTCCAAGCCAAGACCCTTACCAATTCCTAAGGCCTCCACCTCTAGGCTTAGTAACACACTGACCATGCTCTCTAGGGAGATAGGGAGGCTGCAGTTTTAGTAGGTTAGCAAGAAGTGTGTTAAAATGGTGGTTTATCCTATGAATCATATTTCAGTCACATCTTCCCAATTATATGAAAGACAATATCCAGTGACCCATATTCCAGTTCTTTCCTTCCCCATGCCTCATGATACATCAACCTGATCTAACTCAGAACTAAAGCCAGGGACAGGCATTACAGTTGAAGCACCAGAAATGCCCTCGTAGAACTGCAAAAAGAGAGTCTATAGCCATTCCAATGGTTTATAGGAGGGGTTCACCAATAAAGATTTTCTTGGCTGATACCAATAGCCAATTAACTAGCCACATTAGCCAATACTGAACCGATATCCGATTCACAGGAATGCAGCCAATCAGCTTGGAGAGCAGTGTCCTGCTGTTAAGTCTACTGGGGGGAAGGGTGTGTGGGGGAGGGCAGATCAAGGCCCCATGGTGAAGGAGAGAGGGAGGGAGGGAGTGGGGAAGGGGCAGGTACTGCTGAGCCAGGGTAGTGAATAGGAACCTGGGTCGGGATGGAACTGTAGGCAGCTCCCTGCTGCTGTGCACACCACCAACAGAAGCAGGGCACACATCTCTCCCTGCCGGCCAGAGTCGGGGTGGCCTGGCAGTGCTGTGACCTGGAGAGGGGGAACAGTGAGTTAAAGTGGTTGCTGGGATGTTTTGTGCTCTTAGGCCAGTCGTTTGGGAGTGGCTGTAAGGCTGGGGTGGGCAAAATATAGCCTGTGGCCCGAAAATGGCCAGGCCATTCTATCCAGCCTTTGGGACCCCTAAAAAAATGAGAAAATATTTATCTGCTCCTGGCTTCCTGTCAAAGACGAAAAGATCCAGGAACAGTAGGACCCAGGGGGAGCTGGCAGCAGAAAGCAGGAGCCCAGCAACATCCCACGCTCAGCCATTTCCCTGCCTTCCTGCCCCTGTCCTGCTACACACCACGTGGCTCCCAACGTGTGTGTGTGTGTGTGTGTGTGTGTGTTCATGTTCATAGGGCAAGTCCCACACAGACACCCCACCATACATGTATACCCACACCCCCTCACACTGCCATACATGCAGACCCCCACACCCCC